TGGCGCAGCCACGGCCCGTGGCGCCGCCCGGCCGTCAGCGGAGGGGCTCGCTGCCCGCTGGGTCCGGTTGGCAGGTGAGGACTGGCGCGAGGGTGGCCTGGCCGAGTGTCCCCAGGAGCTGGGTCAGCCCGACTTCGTCGGAGCTTGGCCAGCTCTGCCCCAGCCAGGGCGGGTGCAGGAGACTCCGTCATGGAGGGTGTGTTAGCTTCTAGGCTGACACCGGCCACGGCCACTGGGCGCACCCCTGCCCCAGGGTCCCGGGCTCGGGCCCTTTCTGCAGCTGCCCGGGGAGCAGAGTGCCGGCGGTGGCGCTGTTTGCGCTTGGCCTGGGGACCACTGCACCCGCGCCCTGCCCCCTTGGGAGAAGTCTGAATGTGACAGTGTAACTTTGCGGGAATGTGCTGCCTGCTGTGCCCTGGCCCAGGTAGAGATGCAGGTGTTGCTGGGCTGGCGGCTTGTGTGTCTCTGGAGTGCGGTTGTGTGTCTGTGGTGTTTGCTGTAACAGCCTATGGGATTGTCTCCTTCAAACTGAGCGGTGTTGGACCACGGGGCCGCAGGTTCTGTGGTGCCTCTTGCAAGGTGGGCTTTGCTTGGGAGCGTGCACCACGGGGTGGTGTTTGTGTCTCGTGATCCTTAACAGGGTGTGTCTGTGTGTGTGTGCTCATGTCTGCCCAGGCGTGAGTGTGATGGGCTGGTGTGTGCTCAGATAGGTGTGAGGGGAGCTGTGATATTCAGGACTGTGACTTTTCATCCTTGGGGATCAACCACTTTTCCTTTTCCCCAACACTCGTGAGTGTGGTAAGATGGACCATGTCTGTGTCCCAGGGTGTGTGACCTACCTGGGGAGGGTCCCTTGTCCTCGGGAGTGGGACTCTGGCCAGCACCTCTGCCTGCTGCTGTGAGTGTGCTGTGGTAACTCGGTGTGCAGACCGGGGTGGTTTTGTGGTCCTGTCATTGTGTGATCCGCAGTGCAGACGTGCGGTCTTCACAGGGTGGGTTTGCTCTTGTGTGTGCAGCCCTCGTGGTGCACCGACCTGTGTGTTGTGAGAGCGGCGGGCTGTGGGCCACCGGCATGTGCGTTTGTGCCTTAGCACGGTCTCTGTGTGTGTGTTGCTTTTCTGGGTACAGCCAGACTATTTAAATATTAGGATACAGGCCTGTGTGTGTTCAAGCAAGAGAGAGTGTGTTTCCTGGTGCACGATCCGTAGCACATGTGAGTTCAGGCGCTGCCCCACTGGCAGCAGGAACTTGAAGCCTTGGAGGGGCTGGGGGAGGGGTACCATGCTCGAGACTCTAGGGGCTTTCAGCCCCCCGTCCTGCCTAGCTGGGGATGCTGCCTTCCAGGAAGGCTCCTGGGGAGTTGGCGTAGGAGAGGCTGAGGCTGCCAAGCGCAGCTGGCAGATGCCTGGCTTAACCCTGCGAGTGCCCCGGAGAGGCTGGCCCAAGCATGTGGAGGAGGGGGCTCCCACAGGTCCCGGCGCTGGAACATTCCGGCATCCTTCACTCCCTCCCACACTGCTTGATGGGGGTGGGGTGGGGTGGGGATGAGAGCCCTGGGTGGAACCCCAGACCCTCCTGAGGAACCCAGCTGGACTGTGACCTCTGGCTCTCCTAGGGTCCGTGGCCGGGCTGGGCACTGCCGACCTGGCATGACATGGGGAGATGTGATACCCCCACGGCACACGCCTGTGTGTCTGCAGCGGCAGCCTCCTCTTCGCGGAAGGGGGCTGAGTGTGGAGGGGCCCCTGGAGCTTTGGTTGACTTCTCTCAGCAGTTGTTCAAACTCTGCGGGTCAGCTCCACTGAGCCCCTTGCTACAGTGCTCCCTCCACTTACTCCTATTGCTCACATAGGTCCGCGTCTGGTGTCAGAGTTGGGGGCGCCAGACTCCCTGGGGGGCACAGCGGGGTTGTCTGGGCCACCTTTGGGACTGACCTACTGCCCCATTTCTATTGCAGATCACAGGTCTGTTTGAGATGATTGAAAAGATGCAGGTGAGGTTGCAGGAACCAAGGAAGGCAGGGGGGTTGGGGGCGGGAGCCCTTGGCAGTGCCTGGAAGAGAGGGTGGCAGCGTGTTGCCCTCTGTCTCCGGGCCAGGGGTGAGGTGGGGACTGGTAGTGCCCAACTCCCTGTTGACCGAGGGCCGGGGCCCCACCTGGTCGCCCTGGGCTCCCAGCTCAGGGTCAGTCCCCGGCAGGACTGGGGTCTGCACCTCACCCTGCCCCCACATCCCCACTCCCCAGAGACTGAGGACCCACCAGTGGAGTGGGAGGAGGGGCAGAGGCAGGTTTGGGGCAGCCAGAGGCTGTGTGTGGGGGTGGGGCAGTGTCCATGACCCTGCTGTCCTCCACGCCCACCCTGTGCTTGGGAGGTAGACAGGGAGAGGTCGGCGGGGTGGGGGATGTTGCTAGAACAAGCCTCAGCTTCCCCTGCTGTACCGGTTCACCCTCCAGATCCCTCTCCTGCCCCCTCCTGTTTCTGCGCCCCCTCCATCTTTCTGTCCCCCACCCCGCCTCCCTTCTTCTCAAGAGCACGCATCTGTGTGGACGCAGTAGCCCCCTTCCCCGCGCTCACATGCGTGTGCACCCCAACCTGCCCACTGCCAGCGCACAGCTCACATGCCCTCCCTGCGCTGTGGCCTCATCAGCCGGGCAGCAGAGGCCCGAGTAACCAGGTCGCCAGCGGCCTGGCTTGGGAGCAGCCCCTTGGAGGGCCTTCCCTTTCCCTTTCTGCCTTGGCGGGCAGGGGTGCAGCCCTCTGAGGCAGCATGGGAGGGGTGTGACGGGTGTGCTGCCTTCTCTTTGCAGGGAAGCAGGATGGACGAACAGCGATGCTCCTTCCCACCACCCCTCAAAGTAAGTCTGAAGCACGCTGTCCCTTTCCCCCCTGGGCTGTCTGCTTCCAGAGCTGCCTCTCCAGAGAGCTCGGGGACCTGGAGAGGGATGGGGAAGGGGCAGACACCCTCCTTGGGGTGGGGTGAGGCGTAGAAGTGCCGCCAGTCCAGACAGTCCGCCTGCCCAGCCCACCCCCTGGCATGAAGTGGTCTCACCCTGCTCCTGGTGCAGGGGCAGGTGGGGGCAGCGCCTGCCCTCAGAGTTCCCATGTGGAGATTGGGGGGGGTTTGCTCCCTTGTCATGAGCCTTTATTCCAACTCCTTCCCACCGCCCTCACCTTCATCACTGCCCTCACTGCCTCTCCAGGCGCCCTCTGCCAGAGTCACGCCTGTTCCTCACAGGACAGCGCCCTGAAACACTTCCCCTGAGCCACTTAGAATCAGCTGCCGCAGGCAGGAGACTCACACTCTGGGGCTAGGAGGCTTATGGGCTCCTGTGCCTGGGCTGACTGAGGGGGAAGGGGCCTGGCACCCCCAGTGCCAGGGAGAGTGACTGGAGTCTCCTGTTTTTGACTCGGAATCCTCCTGGGATGGGAGCTGCCCTCTGGAGAGGCATAAGGTTCTATGGTCTGTGATGTGGAGTCTCCAAAGTCCTGAAATCCCAGGCTGGGCCTGGGGGTGGGCCCAGGGCTGCAGGGGACAGTTACAGGGTGGCTCTTGGTATTCAGGCTCTGTCCAGGCTTGGGGGTCTCGCAGCCACCTGAGTTTAGCGAGCCATCAAGACCTTTCTGATGCCACTGGCCCCAGGTTTCTTCTAGGGAGGCAGAGAGCCCCCTTCACCCTGGCACTGAGGAGCTAAGCCTGCCTGGCCCCTACCATCTGGGGTTACCTGACCCATGCCCCACGTGGGAGGTGGGAGAGGAGCCCAGAGATGCAGCCCCAACCTGACCCAGAGGGCCGGGCCCACCCCCAGCTGAGGTTCTGCTCTGTGTTTTGCAGACGGAGGAGGACTACATTCCCTACCCCAGCGTCCACGAGGTAACCAGCTGCACACCCTCCCCCGCCCATCCTTACCCCAACCGGGAGACACTCAGGCACGGAGTCCTCCCTGTCGCAGGGAGTCCTCCCTACCAGGACTCTGATCACAGACCTTGGGGGGAGAGGGAGGAGCTGGAGACATTGCAACCCATTTGAATTCTCAGGCCTCTGGGCCAGGTATTTCAGCCTCTTGGCCAAGGTCATGCTTGCAGCTCTACCTGCCTACACCTTACCATCTTTTGAGACTGGGGCAGGGGCCCCTGAGCCTAAGTCCGTGCCTGCAGGAAGGTGAGGGGGGAGCAAGTACACTGGCGGGGTGGACGCGAGCCCTGGCTTGTCCCCCACCCCAGCACCTCTTGGCCATGGCAGAAGTGAGCCAGGTCTGAGTTGTATCTCCTGGTGGGGTGCAATGTGGGAGACTCAGCTGAGACCCTCTTCAGGTCCTGGGGCGAGAAGGGCCCTTCCCCCTCATCCTGCTGCCTCAGTTTGGGGGCTACTGGATTGAAGGCACCAACCACGACATCACCAGCATCCCCGAGACAGAGCCGCTGCAGTCACCCACCACCAAGGTGAAGCTGGAGTGCAACCCTACCGCCCGCATTTACCGGAAGCACTTTCTTGGCAAGGTGGGTGGCCTGCTGGCGTTGGGGGGCTGGGTGAGGGAGGGTATGGGCCCCAGCCCACCCTGGGGGAGCAGAATCCAAAGGCTGGGCTGGGGGCTGGCTAGTCCTGTGGCCCAGGGAGCATGCCTGGTCGAGTCACACATTCACTCAACGAGCGCTTACTGTGAAAGGCGGCATCACAGCGCAGTGGTCAACAGGGGCGGCTCCGCCAGGGCCCTGCCACCCACACAGGGGCCTGGACACGTCTCTTAACTTCTCCGTGCCTCTGCTTCTTCACCTGTGAAAATGGAGATGGTGATGACCCCCCTGGGGTGGCGTTGGCACAGTCAGTTCTCCAGCAGAGCTGGAAATAGGGAGCACCCTTGTGTGCCTGGCTCTTTGGGCGCCAGCAGCAAACTAAACAGACCTAGGCTCTGCCCTTGGGCAGCTGCAGGGTGGTGCTGGGGACAGGGCGGTGGATTGGGCCCCCCCAGCACCCCCAGAGCAGGTGCCCTGCCCAGATTGTCCCCGCTGGTGACTCTGGCAAGAGTCGCCGGGCCGGGTCATGGGAGCTGGACAGGAGTGGCAGCAGCTGGGCCTTGTCCGCGTCAGCTCCATGCTGGTCTCTGTCCCTCAACAACCCGTGTGGAGGGCAGTGTGGCCTTGCAGTCCAGTGGGTCCACGCGTACCTTCCACTGGGCGGTGGCACCTTGGGCAGGCGCCGCTGCCTTCTGAGCCTGCTTCCTCACGTGTACAGCAGGGTAATAAAAGCGCCTGGAAAGCCTAGAGAACCAGATCTGGCGCGTAGTAAGGACTCAATAAACATTGGCTGTTATTATATCTTTGTAATGACTCTGAGATCAGGATCGTCCTGTATTTTACAGGGGAGGAAACTGAGGCTCAGAGAGGTGAAGTGACTTGGTCAAGGTCTCACAATTACTGAGTAGGAATCGGACCCAGCCTTGGCTGGCCTTCCATGAAGTCACCCAGGGGCCGGTGTGTGTGTGTGTGTGTGTGTGTCCTCACTCTGGGTCCAAGGCATTGACCTCATCTTGAGGGATGCGGGCACTCAGGTTGGGGTGAGGATAAGGGCTGGACCCCGTTGTAACCATGGCTAAGACCAGCTGCTGCCGAAGGCAGCAACAGGGCCTGGGACGCCACCTCCCCACCGAGCCCTGTGGGTGCAGAGGGACCTGCGTCCCCGGTGTCCCCCCACCCCGAGGCTCTCAGCTGGATCTGATGGGTGGGAATCTGGTGGGTGGGGAGTCTGGGGGGCTGTTTGGGCCTAGCATGTCATTGGCCCTGAGAAAAGGAAGTGGTGAGGAGCAGAGTAGAGGTGTGTGCCTTGCACACAGAGGGACTTGAAGGGGGCCTCTTGGGCATTCAGAAGAGATATGTTGACCAAGGTTAGATGAGAGGGATCCCAGGGGCCAGCAGAGAGGCAGGGCCACTTCCTGAATCCGTGTGGGGCAATGGGAGAAGCATTGGGCCCCGCCCTGGAGGATGACTTTGGGCATTGATTCTCTGGGACCCTAAACCCACTCTCTGTGGGGTCCTCTGGGTCTAAACAGAGGTCTGGGGAAATCCCCTCACCCTGAGGACTTTGGGGCACCTTCTTGCAAGTACTGGCCATTCTCTCTCTTCAGATGGTGCCAAGCATCAGTTGGGGGTTTCTGGCACTCTGCGCCCGGGTAGGAACAAAGGGGACTGCCCAAGGCCCATCAGCTCGCCCTGGGGTGCAGAATGCAGCCCCCGCCCCGCCCCGCTCTGGCCTGCTCCTCCTCAGCACAGGAGTCGTGGTTAAGCAGGGCATCTCTTCAGAGTGACTCCTGGCAAAGGTGTGGCTGGGGGCCAGCGCCCTCCCAGGGCAGAGGCGGGGCATCGCCCCTGGAGTGCCAGCCCTGGGCTCCTCTCTGGAGGTGCTGTCCCCTTCACATCTTGTACCCTCTGGGATCCTCCTTCCTGCCCGCTGCTTCTCTAGGTGAGGCAGGAGGGTGGGAACCTGCCAGCCAGCTGCCTCATGTGCTCACAAGATGTTTCATTTCCTGTTTCTCATGGGCCCTGGTCCCCGGTGCCACAGAGTCATAGGTGTAGCAAGCAGGTGGCATGTTTCTTTTTTTTAATTAATTAATTAATTAATTTAAAATAATATACTAGTTTGCTTTTACATCATTACATCATTTTGTGTCTTTTCCCATCTCAGTTGTAATCCCCGTGGGCTTCCCATCACCAGATCACCCTGTGCCATCACCGTAGTCCAGTGCACTGCCCCCCTGCCTCCCATTTTTAGGTGTGCCCGGCCCTGGAAAGGCCCTGGGCCGGGGGTGGGGGCCTGTGCCACACAGGTGTGGGCCTGACTCCCACCCTGACAGCCAAGTCACTACAGGTGCTCACTGGATTCCTGTTCTGTACCAGGCGCGAGGCAGGTGGCCCTGTTCTCACTTTATGAACTGGGAAACTGAGGCACAGAGAGATGAGGTGACCTCCCCAGGCTACCCAGATGCCAGGTGGCAGAGCAGGCATCTGAATGTGCACAGAGCCTGCCCCGAGCTGTGCCAGCTGCAGCTCAGTGAAGCACCCCCACCTGGGAGTGCACTGGCCTTCTGGTCTGGTCTCCAGAAGCCTCCAGCTCAGCCTCACTCACACTCCTGGACCCCGCCTCCCACTACAGGAGCATTTCAATTACTACTCACTGGACACCGCCCTGGGTCACCTTGTCTTCTCACTCAAGTATGATGTCATTGGAGACCAGGAACACCTGCGGCTGCTGCTCAGGTGAGGGTTGGAGTGAAGGGAAGTGGGGGAGCAGGGAGTGCTGACACCCTGTAACCTGACAACCTGGCTCATTTTTTTTTTACCTGCTCTAATAATTGTAGCTCAGAGAGGGCAGGGATTTGCCCAAGGTCACACAGCAAGTTAGTAACTGAGTGAACCTGGCCCCTGTCATCACCTCTGGTCCCCCTGGACTCTGCCTCTCTGTTCTTTGTGCAGAGGGGTCCCTCCCCCTCCCCCACCGCCTCACCCCTCACCATGGGCTTTTTCCTCCCAGGACCAAGTGTCGGACATACCATGATGTCATCCCCATCTCCTGCCTCACCGAGTTCCCCAACGTGGTCCAGATGGCGAAGGTGAGGCCTCTGCACCTTCACTGAGTCCCTCTGGGCGCCCCGGGTGGGCACATAGTGGGGCTGCAGTTGTGCCTCGGCACCCCATCTTCAGCTGCAGGCCCCAGGGCTGTGCACACAGCTCCTCTCTTGTATTCTGCAGCTGGTGTGTGAAGATGTAAACGTGGATCGATTCTACCCTGTGCTCTACCCCAAGGTATGGCTGGATCGGGACCCTGCTCGCTGAGGTGGAGGTGGGGGATTAACTGGGAACAGCATTTTTCTTGGGCACCTTTACGCAAGGTGTTTTTCCTAAGTTATCATATTTCATTCACACATAATCCTGCAAAGTCGCCATTTGCAAAAGAACCAGAGGCCAGAATGGGTTTATGCCTTACCCAAGGATGCACAGTGCCTAAGGAGGGCCTGCCTCCAAACCGCAAGGCCATTGTCCACTTTAGAGGCCAGCCTTACTGACCTCTGGACACCCTTGATGCCAGCTGGGACCACCTGAGCCAGGCTGGCCCCAGAGAGGACCTGGGAGAGAGACTAGCACAGGCCCCTCCGTGAATGCTGCCCCCCACAGTAGCTATGTGCTGGGTGCTGGGCTCAAGGCCCTGTGAGCGTTTGGGTAAGGGCTTCTGTCTTCAGCAAGAGATGGGCCTCCGGGAAGAGGTAGGCCTTCCTCGTGGTTCTGACTGAACTTTAGAGCAGGGTGAGGTTCCTGAGGGATGTCCAGGAAAGGTGGCCCACCTTCGGTTACAGAAGAGGAAGCTGGGGCCCAGCCGAGAAGGGGCCTGGCCTCGGCCTGTCGTAGAGGGCAAGGAGTGAGAGCGCGGTGGGCGTAGCGTGCTGGCCCTCCAGGGGCACGCGCCGAGGCTGGCAGTGAGCTCCGGAAGCTGGCAGCCTCAGCAAGTGACCAGAGCCCAGAACCTTGGCTTCCTCATCTGTCAAGTGGAGATGGCAGGAACGTCTCCCTCACGGGCTGGTTTGGAGGCTTCAGTGTGACGATGTGTGGGAGTGCCTGGCACCGTGCTTGGCACGCAGTGAGAGCAGTAAATGGCAGTTTGAAAAAGTAGTCTGTTTCAACTCGTTGCCTCTTCCCCAGGCGTCCCGTCTCATTGTCACCTTTGACGAGCATGTTATCAGCAATAACTTCAAGTTTGGAGTCATTTATCAGAAGCTTGGCCAGGTGTGCTCACCTCCTCCTCCCTGCCCCCACCCACCTGGCCTTTTATCCGGGACGTCAGGCCTGTGCCAGGGAGAACACCTGCCCGGGCACTTGGGCTCCCAGGAGCTTAGGGGCCCCAGAGGTCCTCCTTCCAGCCTCTCCTGGTGGGAGTGGGGTGCGGGCTGACCAGAGGTCCTCCTTCCAGCCTCTCCTGGTGGGAGTGGGGTGCGG